GGGCACAAACGAGCGCGAACTATATAACAGCTGTGACAACACTAACAGCAACACTAACAACAGCTAACAACAGTTGTTAGTTCACGCTCGTGTGTGTCCTACCAGTGCTTCAGTGTGCCTTAGTGTTCCATCTAAGCGCGTCATGAGTGCCATGCATGTGGTTACAAAACTTTTCGTGTACGCCAGTTCGACTAAAAGTTGCAGTCATCTCTGGAGTTGCTGACACCAGCGATAATATTTGTCTTTCTGTGTCCCGTTAGTTTGCGCTGCCAGTATTTCACCATAAATTTACACGAACAAGCCCGCCTTCACACCCCTTCTGCGATAATGTTTGTGCATGCCTTCGCATTAGGAGTGTCAAGAAGTCACGAGATTATGCGTGGCATGGCTGAGAGATCACTGCGTGTGTGTGCGTGCGTGCGTAAGTGAGTAAGTGAGTGAGTGAGTACACGCACGCGCGGCTGCAAACTCAGTGGCACCTCTAATAAGTATGAAGAAAAATTACTATCGCCAAACTCGCGAACGGCACCATACGTTTTCTATCTCTATACCATTTGGAGGACAGTACACTTCATTTTCATGAATGCAAACACGGCGCTGACGATGCCTTGTCCAGCTGCACCTCAATACAGCTATGTACGTACGGGGTCCCTCCTGACCTAAACATTTAGTCTTCATTTGGTTACTGTGGGCTTCGAAAGCAGCCTCGTACAATGTGAACTTCACTGAAGGATAAAAGAAGCCCCAAAGAGGACATGTCTCTGTTGTTGTTGTTGTTGTTGTTGTTGTTGTTGTTGTTGTTGTTGTTGTTGTTGTTGTTGTTGTTGTTGTTGTTGTTGTTGTTGATGATGTTGATGTTATCATGTACCATTAAGCTTACATTGTGATTCTCTCTCAGTGTCGCCCAATGAAGCCTTGGGGATGTCGGTGTTGGAGGCGGCCTCTCTCAGGTCATTTCGTATGCAGGACACACCTAGGCGCTTCGCGAATCCCTCGCGCGGAACTTGTACGCCCTATAGCAGCGACAGACCCTCAGAGACCAAGGAAGTACACCGCGATGTAACGAAGCCCACTTATTAGAATGTGTGGCTGTCAGGATCCTCTTCTAAAGAGTCTAATCTATGTGTAGTTCTAAACACGTCGATGGAGTTCTTCCAGGTAATGTGGTGAGTTGTACGTGATGAACCGGCTCAGCGAAGCAAACTAGCTTGAGTGCCCTTGCATAAGGAAGTCCACGGGGCTGTTTGTGCGAGCACATATAATCCTCCGTGAAGCTGATTTAATTTAAAACTCCCTTTAACCCACTCAATGCTCCAAAAGGACGAGATTGTTTTCTTTATTGCCTATACTTCCTTCTCCGCAGGTGTGACATTCTCCTTTTCACCTATCTCTTAAGAAGCACGTGGAAAACTCCAGCGTGGTGGGCCAGTCATGATTCACACTTTTGCGCCACACGTTGTTACGCCGACTCATGCCACCTAAAAGCACACACAGAACGTTAGCGCAGAAGTGTGGCAGCTTGGGCTAGTTGGTGTGGCATGACGATAGTTATAGCGCGAGAACAAAACGACGACACAGAGACAAGAAGGACACGAAAGACACGAGCGCTCGTGTCTTTCTTGTCCTTCTTGTCTCTGTGTCGTCGTTTTGTTCTCGCGCTATAACTATCGTTAGCGCAGACTTTCACAGAATGCTAAATAAACGACACTGCTGAGATTCTGTGAGACACTACGTAATTTAGAAAGCGCATAGCTGTTTTTTATCAAGGCAGTTTTATAATTGCATTGTCATGGAATTCAAACCGTTGTTTCAGTAGGAAAACAAGGATGAATGACAAAGAAGGTAATTATTATTTCGCTGTCAGGGGTGTAGTATTAAGCATCAGGTATCGCGAAATACAGCCAACTAAACCATGTTCTTGCTGCCACGATATAGCTACCTTGGAACATATGCTCTGGCGGTGCCCCGCGTTACGCTGTGTGGAAGTCATCACGCCGTCCAAATGGGAGGGTGCTATTGCAAGCTCCGGACTTGAACAACAGCTATGGGCATTTCACCGGGCCCGCGACGAAGCAGAGAGACTTGGTCTTTTTGTTCCGACGTGGGGGCGGCCCGCAACGTGCTAAAGCACGTTCTGAAGGAGCAAATAAAGTTCATCCGTCCACCTAGTACTTTCGCATCATAGCCTTTATTTATTCTGAGCCTTGTTTGTTTTTTACTCCACGGCATCTTACAACAAAACACATTAAGATGGGCCGACAGCGTCCCAAGACACATTGTGATGTGAATACGAAAACAGGCGAGTCTTTCCTGCCCGGCTAATTTGGTGCTATTCACTGTAGCCTTGTGATGGCAATAAAAATACCACTAGTGCAAAAACAAAGCTTGCCATGCTTCATTCTCACGAGCAAATGGAGGCATGCAAGTTCTGCGCGCATAGGAATGACCAAACTTTTCTTTTCTTCACATTTATATCAGTGCACGCACACAATGCACGTGTTGCTTGAAATTTTCGGTGCCTACATGCAGATAATAATTAGACGGAAGAAATTTCAAATTCACCAGGGTTTTGTGAACGCAATGCGATGTCATCACCTTGATTGGAGCACCGCCGTGGTGGTCTAGTGGCTAAGGTACTCGGCTGCTGATCCGCAGGTCACGGGATCGAATCCCGGCTGCAGCGGCTGCATTTCCAATATATGTATACATATATTGAGCGTCGTTTCATGATGTATCGCTCAATAAAAAAATTACAACACAGCCCCTTTCCTCCACATGCTTCGCGTAACGTCGATTCTCAGGTACATGGTATCTGCCAGATTTTTCATTACTTAATTCAAATATCTTATACTTTATCAGGCATACTGCTTTCCGCACGACGCTGACAGGGAGATAGATAGATAGATAGATAGATAGATAGATAGATAGATAGATAGATAAACGTGTGTTTTCTCCTCAATTGAAAAGCGTCCGTGCGTGCCACTCCTCTACTCGGGCCGTGGAGGTGGCTACCTACTACTACTACTGCATACATCGCAGACGCACGACCTGCGGCATAGGGAGATTCGCCCCCAGAACCACTACGCCAACCCACTCCAGTCGATGTCTGCGCGTTATTGCATCATTGCTTAACAAAATGTCACGAAAAAATATTTACGTAAGCGGGGTATAAAAGGTGAAGATTCCGAATCACCAACGAAATCGAGAATCGCGAACCGCTACAGTGTCACAGTCCGTTCAATGTGAAAACAATACCCGCACACAATACTCGCGCTCAGTATAAGCTACAACACGTGAGCGCGTGGCTGAACGCACTGCCAGGTTGTACAGTAGCGCCCGATCGTGGCATATTTTCGAGTTATCGGGAGAGGGTTTGGCTGATCCTGCAAATGTGCATCACCCCCACATGCTAAGAACGGCAAGTCACTGCATATCAAGAATAATCTGCTGGGATTCTTGAGTGTGGCGCAGCGTCATTTTTTAGCCGAGCAGTGGCGCACTGCTCAACTCCGTCAAGCGAAGGGTGAAATTCTAGTCGAGGAGCGTTTGTGAATCACGTGTTTCACGTTTGTGAGTCACGTGTGAATCACGGGGGTAGATATCGCGTGGTTTGTGAGGCTCGGCTTGTCGAGTGCGAAATTCGGTCTTCGAGACACGGTGGCAGTTATCATTTTCGAAGCTGATATCACCGCAGGGCCAAACGAGAGCGAGCGTGAAAGCAAATAGGGGCGATGTGCATTCGCAGGATCAGCCAAACCATCTCCCGATAAAGGCAACAAGAAATAAAAGAGGCGTTGCATGTGCGAACGCGCAGCCACACAAACGCACGCACACTATCGCCTTCCTAATCGCTAACCTGCCTGCACTTCGTCAAGACACCCTGCGGTTCATATCTTCATTCGCATCTACCTCGAATATCTGATTACGGCCATTGCTGATTTCAAGCTGGCAACCAAAAATTGCACCCACAGGGATATCAATATTTCTGCAAAACGAGCTATCTTTAAAGTTTTCTCGTTAATACTTTACTCGAATCACTAAAGTTGAGAAAGTTAAGGGGGCGTGAACTGAGCCTCGTGTTACGGGCGATATCAAGAAAAAAAATTCCTTCCGCTATCTTTCTCGGTTGGTATATATGAGGTCGTGGTGCATGAAACCCTTCAGTGCTGGTAGGGTCATTGAAACATACGTCCAGTGTGCTGTCTCGAGTGCCCGTGAAGTATTCGCGTCTGAATTCACATCGTCATGGCGGATCTCAGCCGAGTGTACCGTTTCCGCGACATCCCCATCAAAGGCGTCAACTGGCGACCGACACACTTTGTCGACGAAGTGCCCGATTCCTGCTTGTGTGGACTGTGCCACATGATTCCGAAGAGAACCGTGTGCTTGCCATGTGAGCATCGTCTATGCGATTGGTGCCACGCATTCAAATCCGCCGGCCGCGGCCGCGTTCGTTGTCCGTTTCATGAAGAGGAGTTCGAAGTAGGGCAATGTCGCAGTGACGATCTGCCCTTCAGAACAGCAAAGGCCTTCCAGGTGAGAAAGTAGCGTCGGTTGTTTTCCGGGAAAAAAAACCTAACACTACTGATACGAATGGCATTTATGAAGTGCACATGGCTACACACATCGTGAAAGCGTCTTCGGTAAAAGGCCGCCAACACTACATGGTGTACATTGAATTACTCCTTTCGATACATTGCTTTCGCTTAACTCTCATATTAATTAACCGTACAGAGTAAATGCCAGATGTTGCTTCGTTTTGCTATTTATTTAGAGTAACACGATATAACAAGACACTACTAGCTCATGCTTTTTCTTGACACACTGTAACCCATCTTACAGGCAGAATGCGAAGCATACACATTTAGTAATAGCTATTGGGGGCAGCCCTGCTGTTTAAAGACGGCCAACTTTTTTTAATTCTATAGGCGTTCTTTCTTCTTCGCAAATGAATATTAAAGGGCGCAAAATGCAGTGTATAATAATGCGAGAGCTTAATAAATCTTATGCCCTCTCACGCTTCTCCTGGTAGAGTGCTAGATCTTGCAATAAAGAATACGTGTTCGAGCATTTCTATACTGAAGCACTGAATGAGGTCGGGGGTTGGCTCAAATTTTCAGTGCGAACGGCTAACGTGGATCTTAACGTTTCTTTTTCTTGTTTTTCGATGAAGGTTTATTGCTGGAACGAAGCCCAAGGATGTGAGTTCAAGGGCGCCTTGAAAGACATGCTTCTACACTACGAGAACGATTGCACATTCAGCTCGGTTGAAGATTCGCAATGCGGCGAAGCAGTACTGAACAAAGACGTCGAACCTCACCAGGTCGCTGGATGTAGTAAAAGTGTTTCTCCAGCATGCACACAGAGCACAGTGTCGAAATTTGAAGCACTGACACTCGAAGACGTGGAGAGTGTAGAAGGGAAGACGCCCTTGAGCGACTCGAACCACGACAAGGTGATTCCCGCCTGTCCAAGTTGTGAGAACGGGCCGACAAAAGTATGCAACAAGGAATCCAGGGTCGCCGTAGTCACAGATGAGGTTGGACCATCTGTACTTCTAGACACTGTTCAGCACTCCAGTACGGCTTCCACGACTGCCTCCCAGGAACCGGCTTCCCGGCAAAATCCAGCGAAAGAAGCCAGCATGTGAAAATCGACCCCATTCTGCTCCCAGTAAATGTTGACGAATCAAGGGCCTCAAATTTTTCCTAACATTTATCGTCACCTTCTGGCGAGAATCCAGAAAACGTCCACGGAAGATTTACTGCTCCATTTTATCGGCTATTTCGACCTACTTCTAACGGTACGAGTCCTTTAACATTGACGAAGTCGCTGTCTACCACGTATGCATGGAAAGTGTTAGGCGGGGCGATGCCTTTCGTCACTTTCGAAAGCTGTTCATCTGTACTGCCGAAAAGTGACAGTATTTCGTCGCGTCACAGAGTTGCACACGAAGGACGCCAGCCGTTCACGCTCCAACTTTGCTCCATTTTGTAACGTCTGTTGGCCCATGGACTAGGTGTTACCATAGATACTACTAGAGTTCTGTTGGGGGTGCTCAGTGTTTGTTGCCTTCGTTTGGCGTCTCTGTGCGCAACGGGGGAATGAAAAGAAACACTTCGGTGCTGACGTGGATATCAGCCTTCCGTATGCCATGACGCCGCAGCTACAAAACTACATTTTGTTAGCGTATTCAAAATACCGCCTGCTGTAACGCCTTGGTTTCCATCGTAACAGCATGGGCGACCTTTAAGTACTCGTTTCGCAAGAAGACATGCATGACTACTTCTCGAGCTGCTAGACCATCTTAATAGTCCAAAGTTTTAGGTGATGCTTTTTCTTTTATGTATCAGACGCTGCTTTCGTGCGAATAAAAAAAAAAGAAATGAATTCAGGTCTTCGGAGCACACCGTAATAAGTTTCATTACATCTTCTTGGCGCACTTCACAAGTGCGCCCTAAGGTGCGTACTTTCTATAGTTTATTTTTTGTTTCTTTGTGTGCTGTTCACCGGCGAGACATTTTAGAGCTGAAGTAGCTCACAGTGTGTAGGTAGCCTTCGCTGCCGCACTGCCGGCTTGCCCTCTCCTTTGGACCGGTGAATACGACACGCTAAGCAACGATACGCAGTACTCTATGGCTGCCAAAGCAGATATTCCCGAGGCCGCTGTCTCAATGCAGTCGTCTTTCGCGATGTGCAACTTGACTTTTCGAACTATTACGCTATCGTGCTCGTGAGTAGTTGGTACAGTTAGGTCATCAGTTTTCGGTGTATATAGCAAGTACACTATTCCACCAATAAAACATCCTTGCCTTCTCAATGTTTCTTGTTGGTATTCCTTTTTTTTCCTCGCTCACGCTATTACCGAGACATAAGGCGCAAATAAAATCGCGTATTTGTTACGCCATGTAAAAAGGTTAGCAATTAAGAAAAATTTTGATTTCGCACCACCTAGGGCGGTTTCGTGACGTAGCTGCGACTTCCATTTTTTACGTCATTTATTTTTTTTGTTAATTGTTCCCTACATGCGTAATTGGCGACGGTCACAACGAGCCACAAATTACTGGATTCATGGGCCTCTATGGAAGTTACGCTTGACAAGACAATGAGCTGAACTAAACAAAAGCCGGAATGCAGATGGCCTGCATCCCCCCGCTCACCTCCGTTTTGTGGCGCTCGAAGAAAACATGAGGCTATCAACCATTCAGCTAAGTGTCAGATGATTGATATGTGGGGTTAAACATTCCGAACCACCATATAATTACGAGGGACGCTCAAGTGTCAGATAAACCTAAAGTAAATTTCTACTCTACTTAGGCATATTTGAAGTCGTGACTATTTGACCAAAAAAAGATTCTAAGTTCTTGCTTTTTGTTATGTGCCCTCCTTACCTAGTCACGCTTCAAATGTACGGCGGGAGTTGATGTTTCTGACAACAGGTTTTCGACCACAACTCTTCGTTCCAGCTTTTAAAACCAATACGATTTCACTATGGCTTTACAACGTACTCGTAGTAGGTGCGGGCAAATAAAACAAAAAAAAGGGCGGGGAGAGGCAAAGAGCAGCGCAGAGCCTGGGGTGCATGCATGGGCCGGCATGCACGCTTTCCCTGTGTCGCCTTTATCTCTCGCCCCGTAATGAAAGTTTCCGGATTGCTCAGTGGTGTTAGCCATGTTTGCGCGATTAGTGCTAGCAGCTTGACTGTGTCCGCAACGCTGGACGTGAACGGCGCGTTGCGACGGCCATAAAAGTGGACGTACTGCGAGCGCGTTCGTTTCGTGACGGTCACGGGCCGCGACCGAGCCGGCCGCGGTGACTGCCAAACAGAGTGATGCACGCAATCCGCACAGTCCGGAACCCGAACGGTAAGTAAAGATTCTGTTTTTCTTTTTACCCGTCCATGTCGTCGCTCAGGCAACTGCGGCCATCGTTCTGCGCTGTGTGACAAGGGAAAAGTACAACAAAAACAAATAAAAACAACCATAAACACGACAGTTGGATTAGGTACGAATAGCAATTACGCGAGATGCCAGTTCCGTGTGTGAAGGCTACTGTGAGGTCAGTACGTATACAGTAAATCAGTCAGCACCCTTGGTGTGAGCGCGTGGCCGACGGGACTATCAGAGCCGCGTAACAACCATCGTGGTCATGGTGGTAGTAATAATTAGAAAAAGGCCCCTAATATTTGCAGCCCAGTAGGGAGCACAGCGCAGCGCCTAAAACATCCATCGTACGAAACATTGCAAAAACTTAGCGTGTGAGCTGCGATACGCTCTTTCCACCGCACACACGATGTCATAAATTGGCTTGTTCGATCGTCTGCTTGCCGCACATTTTCCGGCTTGGTTGATGCATCCCGCATTTTAAGTTATTTTCTTCTTTCGAGTTTTCTTCAAGAAAAAAATCAAATGTAAACTTTCTTATACTCATTTTTGCTTTCAGGCGCCAATATTGAATCTATGTGGACTTTGAAACGCACGATGTGTCAGCCTAGCAGACGAAACTGCGGCTATCAGATGACGAAGAAATGGATGCGGGAAGTGGTGCCCGTGGTGAAAAGAGTGTACCGCTTGAGTTTCGATTAATGGACGTTACTGGGGCACTGATAGTGCTGCTAGCCACGTGCCCGTGTGCTTACCCAGTGCTCACCGCTGTACTCACGTGCTTCGTACGGCCAGTTAATCAACGTGCAAGCGCACCGTGCTAAGGATATCTTGTGAGGTATGACTGCTAAGGACGAGGCAAGTGTGCAGTGGCATGCTTTTAGGCGAAATATATACTGAAGCGAAAAAACGCGCTTATCCCACAAATCGTTTCGTCTCATGTGCCATGTTTGTTTTTATTTAACTGTTCTCATACTTCCTATTCCACTTTTTACAGTGAGCTGTTACGAGATCACAACACGGTTCTCGTGCACGCCGTAGTTGTCCGCCGCCGGTGTCTGTAACCGCTGTAGCACGAAAGAAAAAAAACTACGTAAATAAAACAAAACACCAAGGACACAGTGGCATTCGAACCCGGGCCCCCGGCATGCCAGCTCAGCGTTCTACTACTGAGCCACGCCGGTACTTGGAACTCCTTTCCAAACTGCCCTTAGGCAGGCTTGGTGTCGGAAAAGCAATCACGTAATATGAGTAATAAAGCATTTTAGAACAGCAAAGAAACAATCAGGTGTCACATAACGCGAGTTGCGCTACGATTGGGTCGTCGAATGCTCCACTCGTTCAAAAAAGCTTGATCTTGTACACCTATTAACTGTGGTACATGCCCACTGTGCGGGGATTGTGGGGATTACAAAATTTGGCATAATCCTTCATCGTGGTCAGCCACATCACACAAAAGAAAAATTGCGCCAAGTTCCTTGCAAGTGTGCTGCGGTTACCACACTTCTACAAAGAATCACGAAGGATGGCATAGTGAAGGCCTGCCAACTACAAAATTGGATAATAGCGCAGTGGATACCCTGCAAGTGTGCTTGCAGCAGCTACGTAGTGTGTTCAAAAAAGGCTCTGAAAGGCCGCTCTTCCAGCTTTCGCTGTGGCTAGTGCTACGCATTCCACCTGGCGTTTTTTTTTTTTTTTTTTTCACTATAGTCTCGGGAGGATGGCCGTGTCAGAGTCGATGACTTCTTGGGGACGTTTCGAGAGTGCTTAGAAGGGCCATACCGTAAACGTCTGGCATTTATAGGCAACTTCTAGAAACGCGCTATTTGCCATGTTGACGAGAGGGCACGTCTCTCTCGGAGCAGCAGTGTCACAGTTGTCCGGCTCGGTCATATTACAGTGTATGGACACCGAGGAAACGTGCAAAGAAAAAAGGACGACTTTTTTTGTCAGCAAGTCATTGATGCTGAGGCCTCTATACAGGGTGTCCCACGTAACCTTAACCAGAGCTTAAAAAAATGCCGGAACACGTAATTACGACGCGACCAAATGCATGTTGCTCACCGTTGCCTGGGGTTCGTCAGACTATTTTTTTTGTTTTCAAATATTGTTTAATTCTGTTTATTTAACTAACTTTTGTAGTAACAAAGATGGATAACAAATTTCAATGAGAAAGTTGTAGATCAGTTTGTAAAACGTCTAAATAGGTAGTTTTGAACTTTACATCTGTTAAGTATTAGTGTTTTTCTGCTATTTACAAATGCCTGCAAAATAGAAAAAAATACCACGTGACGAACCTCCTCGCGCGTCGGAGCGCACGATGATTCTAGTGCTCCCTAACGTTCAGCTTACGAACGACACGCTTCCCTCGCACCGGTTTATAACAGCGATAAACAGTCACAGCTGTTATCGTTTTTTGTGGCCAATAGCAAAACATGTTCATCGTAAAGGCACCACCATCGTTGCGGCCCTGCCGAGATAGCACAATGGGGCAAATGCTATGGTCGTTCGTAAGCGGAATGTTAGGGAGCACTAGAATCATTGTACGCACTGGCGCACGAGCGGGTTTGTCACGTGGTGTTTTTTTAATTTCGCGAACATTTGTAATTAGCCGAAAAACCCTAACACCTAACAGATATAGAGTTCAAAACTGTCTAATCGGACGTTTCGCAAACCAATGTGAAACTCTCTCATTGAAATTTTTTATCTAGCTTTGCTCCTTGAAAACTTACTTATTTAAACATATTTAATTAAGCAATTATTCAGAACACAAAAATAGTCAAACTGCAGGTAACGGTGAGCAACACGCCTTTTGGTCGCGTCGTAATTACGTGTTCCGGCATGTTTTTAAACTATCGCTAAAGTTACGTGGGACACCATGTATAGCGAATGTGATCTTTGGTGTCTACATTAAAGTAATGACATGAATCTGGGGCATGAGCGTCGAGCGTCTGCACTTGAGCTAGTATCAATGGTTGTTTGTTTTTATTTTCTCGGTATCTTAGTGGACGAAACCATACTAATACAATCTTGTTGGCCATTTAGTTTGTTGAAGGTCCAAAAAAAGTAATCTCATCCTGTCAACTCTTCCTTGCAACAGGATTTGCAATGCGATCGACCACTTATGCGTATGTGGGCTTTGTTGGTGTTTGTTAGTTTTCTATGCAGTCACCTGACCAATGATAAATACATAACTCAGTAACAATAATGAATACTGGTGCTCGCTCTAACGAATCGATGTTACAGTAAGAGAAAGAACGTTTACGCCATGGTTTCGCACAAGATAGGTTATCAAGCCTGCACTTTTCTTGCGTTGTAATGGCCAACACTGTACCCAAAACGATGAAATCAAACCAGCGCTCACACGCATGTTTCGGGGCTTGTCTGCGGTCTATCCTTACCAAAGTTGAAGGGCGTGTGAATAGCCGATCATCCGCAGTCTGTACCACGTGCTAATGATTTGCAATGATACCACTGCGAGCTTCTCGAACAGAAGCTTGGTTTGCATGTTTCCATAGTATAAATGTGCGTACAAAATGTAGATTTTAGGGGCAGTTTGAATCTGCTAAACATTTTCGTGGCGTTGCCAGTAGCGGTGAAACATACGCGGTTGGCTAAAAACACCGAAGGCTAGACACATTTGCCTAAAAGACTAATTTTAATCATTTTAAAATTTTCCTATTGAAGCAAAACACGTTGCTACCATTACGTGTAACAAAACGTCACACACGGTTTTTACTTGTTAATTAACTATAATGGGTAAAATGTGACGGACCCCGTATAGAAGCCGTGACACCGCTTTCATATCCTAAAGATATCGATGCAGATTGTGTAAAACAGTTGCACTTAACGTGGCCGTAAACCAACTGTTCCAAAACAAGTGCGCCGCCAGATTACGTGCTGCTTAGATTCGTTTTGTGGTCAGCAACAAGGCGAG